ATCTGTTTTTCCATACTGTAGGGGATACATATTTAACCTGGTAAAAGCAGTTTCACGAAACTTCTGCTTGAAAAAAATATCGTTTTTCAAATCCTAGTGTAGAATAAGCGACTGGAGGATTTACTTAAATCTGTACTCACACCCAGACAGTCTTAGTTTAACCGCTTATCATTTTCTACAATTTATTTTTACTTAAAGAAAGAAGGGGAACAGAAATAACTGTAATCTCTCAATACGGTGCTATCTGTTAGAAAAGTCAAGATTTGTGATATTCTGTAATTCTTTTCCCTGACACACTGAATTGAAATAACGATGATATCAAACTGAGAGTCCTTTCAATTTGTAAAGAATATTGATGCTTCTTAACTAATGGTGCAATGAGGAAAGAAGGTAGATATGATATTATCGTTATTTTACTCTGCATATCGGCTGGATATTAACACATAATCAGAAGGAACCATTTAGCAATCAAACCAGTTTATGCACTATGAAACATTATTTTTCTACGGCAGGGTTTTTTCTTTTCCCTCATATACACACAGACCGAAATACAGAGACTTACGAAGTCCATGAGCACACACAGAAATCCTATCCTTCAACAGATACGATACATTAACTATATTCGGGGTTATTCAGTACAAATCTACTACAATAAATTGAAGCTTCCTGAACCTGAATCCCAAACTGTTTGCCAGTTTTTCTACAATATTCTTAGGTGGACATCAAAAACTTAACACCAAATATTCTAATAGAAACAAAAAAATCTTTCAATGAAACGGTATTTGAAAGAGCAAGTCTCATGTTTTGCTTTGCCTCTTCATCAGATCTGAAACTGTGGGAAATTCTGTCTGATACTGGAGGACAGGCGGGACCGGCCAAGAAAGCAAAACAAATATCGCTTAAATTGCTCATTCAAATGTAGAATTCCAATGCAACAGGCAGTAGAAACTAAAAACAATGTTCACTAAAAGGTTCACAGCCAGGAGAATCTCTACCAAATCTCTATCAAGGAATCTCTTATACTTTGTTTTCGAATAGGTATCAGATACCGTTCAATTTTCCATATATTGAACTTTTTTTCAGAAAATAAATGTTTTGAGCAGCAATATTCTTTGGGTTGCCTCAAACTGTATCTTTCAAGAGTACGTAATCAAACATATCTAATCAGTCTATGAATTTCTGATAGCTTGAGATGCTCGATTTTATAGTGAAAGCGCAATTTCGATCCTAAATTTAAAATTGCCTCTATGGATTTATATGCTGAGTGTTGAAATGGTTGTCATTTGATTTAAGAAAGGGACTGTATAAGTTTCGTCTTCTTACCTTCACCCTTTTGCATTTTTTGGAGGGGAGGTTACGGGAGGGAAAGAGCAAAGGGAAATTCAACCTGTTTGTGATTTCACAGAAACGATTTCACACAATGTTATTTTGTTCTACTTAGAAAATATCAAATCTATCTCACGGTTTTTGTAAAAATTCAGAGCCTTTGCAGCAGTTCGCACTATTCGTACCTATTAGCTAAAGACTGCGTAAAGATTTTTTCAAATGTAAAAATTGCTGTAAATGCACTTATGAAGTAGAGAAAGAGAGCCTAAGTTCCTCGCATTTCTGAAAAAAAATTATATCTGAAATTAAATATTTCTTTCGGATTGTGATTGTTCTACTATGCATTGCATTTCCATCATTTATTGCTCCGTTTTTTCTGGTTTCTGTCGTAAGCTCTTTTCCAAATCATTGTATTAACAACTTTTCAAGGTAAAGCAAATTTAAGATAAACAATTATACATCAACATAAAACCTAGCCCACATATTTTCTCCACTAATGCAGAAGTTAGGCGAGACATTAGAATTACAGCAAGTTTTACAGAAAAACCTAACAACGATTGAAAGCAGGGATGCGAACGAGTACTTCTACAAAAGGCTGCACTATAAAAGGCAAAGAGTATACGATAATGCAAATGCAGAAGTATATTACAAGGAGTTATAGATTGCCATTTGATTATGGTTTCCTTCCTGTTCATATCATCTAATCTAGCTCCATTAAACCATTGCACCAGACTCATGAACTGGCAACCTGAGTGCTATTGATATGTACCAGTTGGTTGACTACATTGTGAATCTTCTTACAAATAGGAGGTCGAGCACTCGAGTTTCCTACGCACAGTATAGCACCACATAATAGTCAATACTACACCTATGATTTTTTTATGGGGAGTAAAATTATAACTAAGTCGCATTGTTGAAAATATTAGAAAACTGCGATTTCAGCAAATGATATCTGTATATTCGGTCGGATAATTTGACTGTTTTATACAAATGAGTCTTGTGAAATGGTCTGTTGTGGTCTGTTATAACGAAGGATCGTTAATTCCAAGTTAATGGTCAATATGCTGCATGTTGGTGGTTTCCCGCTGGTTCTGGTTATTACAATAATCCTCGCGTTTATTATAGTGTCTTTCAGGTCGAGAGAATATCTCAAAACAAGTCACAGGACGTATATGGTGACTCTATATTGTTGTAGGCCAACCAGTGGGCATCTGCACAGCTTTCGTTTGTAGTCGAGGATTCTGCCTGGAAACATCGTTTTCAAGCAGGGAGGGGACACTCAGTATTCCTCGGAAACAAAAAAATCTACACTTTTCAGTACCAGCATATATCCAGCACCCATAGAGTTACTCAATGACAGAAAGGTGGACACATTGAACATGCAATTCAACACTTACCCAATTCAAACTATCGATTGAACTATTTACAACTACAGATAAAAAGCATATCAAGTGATATCACAAATAGCAGTTATTAAAAACAGTTCGGAGTGAATGGCAATTGGTATGTCCTGTCAGTTTAAATTCCTTATAATTCAATTTATAATGTCAAATTCCTTATAAAAAGGCTCACAGAGAATTCATGTATTGAATATTGGCCGTATTCGTCGAATGTTAATGCCGTTCTTTATGAAAAATGATGGGATTTTTTTTACAGAATCAGTGACATATTTTATCAGCATATTTGCAACAATTAAACATGATGTCAGCAGTAACATAAATCATGTCCCTGTCTTCTCAAAGCCATGAGGTGTTTTGTTAGTTAATGTGCTGAATTTCATGTCAGGAATAATAAAATGTCAGTCTTCTTTAATGATTGGATGCTATTCCCTATTCTACTTTTTTTTTTAAAAAGAATTACCTCCGAGGAGTGTTCTTCCAATATCAGCCAACCTTGATCTCACAGTTAAAGATAAATCACAGACAACGTTGACTTCACAATTATTATTTTTGATAAACTGCGTGTCTGACACATGTCGAAACATTCAAACATCTTCACATCACCATTCGTAAAAGTACCCAAACTAAGAGTGCCACATATGTCCGCCACCTAAGCATAGAAATGCCACTGTGACTGTAATGGAGAACCCGCTCTTTCCACGGAGGGAGACACTGTACTTACTTAATTCCCGAGAGTTGGGGGCGCGGGTTGGCAAGAGCCAAGGCATGAAGACCCCAGACTGTGCGTTGAGGTATTGCTGCAGTTTAAACAGCTAAAACCACATAGCTTGCACAATTAAAACCGCAGCTAATGGCACATTAGCAGGCCGAATTAGGTCAGATCATACAAATAATTCCTATTGATTATCGCTTGTCGATATTTGCCCACTCATGTAAAACTTCGCGCCAGTCAGCCTGAGAGGTTGCAAACAAAACGCATATATAGATACCCCATCACTTTTATTTCATAACTTTGGGAGCAAAACATATTTTTCAATGTAACCATTGGAAAATAAAACCATCAAAGACGCGGCGAAACTTGTTTGCAGAACTTTCAAAGTTATGGACACCGGTGGAGCTGGTTGTCCGAATAACAGAATTGTTAAATAATTCAAATAGTTGCACCGATATAATCCTGAAAAAAGAGGAATCCATAAAGCAACTGTGCAAGAAAGTTGCAGCTAAAATAATTCAAACGTACAGCATACATAAATGACACATATCTTTTCTATGGTAATAGCACTTAAATATCTCTCAATTGCAACCACACATGCTATTAAAATACGTAAATTCACAATCAAGAGATTCGTTCTTGCAATGCAAAGCCAGAACAGAAAAGTACGCACTTGGAATTGAGGCAAATATGGATTTTTTTATTGACTGTATCCACTGATATGTTGTATGACATAACAGTGTATATATAGATCATTCTAATAAGGATATGTGACGAAAATATGATTTCGCAAAAACAGACATCACTCCCACCTTCAAATGATTTCCCGCTACTGTATTGGCTATTAAACATTGCATATGCAATCTTGCAATTTGTATTTATTATTTATATTTATTGCATCCAATAAGGAGAACTGTTTACAGTATTATGTATTGTGGACGAGATCACAAACCACATTCGTTACGAATGTGAGTGCATTAATGAAAAGGTTAACATGAAGAGCACAATGTAAAACCAGAACAGTAATATAACACCCACTGTGTGTCTGTGTAGACTACCCCAGCACTGCTTCACCAAAATTTTGTCGGAAACCATAAATGGATCGATATGAAATCAAATTATATCAGGAGATGAAGGATGAGGCTTTGACGCACACACACACACACATACACACAAGCTTATTTCGGTTTGCCAGGACTTGTCCAGGGTTTATTGCGATCATGTTTTCTCTGATAATGTAAAAGTGATTAACTACAGAGTTAAAAGAATAAAATCAAGTCGAAGATATCCCAATATCTAATGTTGATAATAATAAAATCCCATAAAGCACTCCGAACTTGCTCCGCAGTCCTTTCATGCTTTTTCTTCTTCTTCTTCTTATTATTATTCTAGCAAAGCCTATGAATAAAAAAAGCTAATGTTTTAACAACAGCAATATAATGAGTAAATAAATGAAACTTTATAGCGGTTACGTATAAAGTTTCTCTTAAATGATGCAGTCCATGGGTGTAGTGAAACGTATACAATCTGAGCAATGGATGCAGGAATCTTCCTTACTCGCTCTGTAGTCAATTTTTGGGGTGTAAAAAGATATGTTTCCTGTTTCAGTGGAATGAGAATCCGTTCAGTTCTTCGACCACGGTACCTTGAAAGTAATGTATTGCACGTTTGCACCAAAAAAAGTAATAGAGGCAAAAAGAGCTGGAGAAGACCCGAAGTGATTTGTGTTTTTGTTTCGACAAATACCTTCACCATTAATTTAAGGGTCCTTTGATTTAAGGTCATATTTAGACAAGTCCGCTCATCTGTGACCTGAGGAAAGGCATAGAAGAAGGGAATGTTGCAAGCGGATAATTTATAGAGCTGGAAAAACTGACCAGTGGAGGGGACACTTGAGGCAGACTGAAACCCAAGGCGCCAGATGGTGAGTTTTCGTGATATAAAATCGGAACTCTCACAATCCTCTGTGAACTGTGAGAAAGATTAACCGCTTCCAGATCTGCAGCCAGTTGCCTTTTCCATTTGTTTCTGCGATTTTGAAACCAGATTTTGACCTGGGTCTCGGTCAGGTGAAGGGAAGCGGCCAGACCCGCCCTCTCCGAGCTGCTCAGGTAACGTTTCATGTCAAAGGTGGATTCGAGCTGGAAAACTTGGCTCCGGCTGAACACTGTGCGGGTCTTCTTCTTGCGACCCGTTTTCTGGTTAGGGTCCGTCTGGTCCTTTGCAGCCTCGTTGCTCTCGAGTTCTGCTCTCTTTTCCTCCTGCAACTCTCCCCCCTCTTTGCTGCAGACTTCCTCGTGTCTGTCTCCTTTGTCGGAGCCCTGTGGGGAGTCCCGGTCACTGGCTGTGAGAGAAAAACACTGCTCTTCCTCGGAACTGGCGCTTCCTCGCTTCGGACCTGTGTGTCCAAATCAGAATGACAGATGCAGGTCAGCTCCCGGGTTACAACACAGGTTGTCAGGACATGTATTAAACATAGAGGGAGACCCACAGAAAGGACAGTTGGCATTGTCGCCGGTTAACACGGTCACATATCCTTCTTTGCACCAACTAACTATCGCTGAACCTGTCTCTGGAGGTTATGATTAGGCGAACAAATTTAATATGGTTGTTAGTTCCGAACGTTTGACCCTGATATTGGTTATCTTATGCCCCAAAAGATCAGGTGCAGAGGCGCACACGAATACGGCGAAGATTATTTCTATTCACTCTATTGGCTGAAATTTCTATGCAAAAGTAACCCACCGACAGATGGTTTCACATTTATTGAAACAAGCGATTGTTTTCAGATTATTTTACTTCATTTAAAAAATACCTTTCCATGACAATGAAATATAACTCTGTCGCAGGCCTTGGATGTAACACGATCAATTGATTAGATTGGCAATAAGATAATATACAGATAATACGATAAACATACAAAGACCGAGCCTAGAAAGCAAGTTAGACAGAGCCCAGAAAGTTCCTTTATGTCAATTTTCCAGTTTTCTTTCAGTGATGCGGCGTAAACAATAATGTGTTTTTTTCACTGACTTTTTGTCTGGCTTTAAGCGTGACAGAGGGCCTCTCTGCCAGAGTTATTGAAACCATGTGGTAAACCCAATAACCTATGCAGGTTAAACCTTATGTATCTTAAACGTAAATGTGAGTATTTACTTTATTTTAGAAAAAAAAACTACAGGACAGCCCTGGACGAAGTAACATTAACATCGACGAGACCGTCAATTCATCATGAAATATCTTATTTTTACTGGACCCTAATAAAACACATTTGATCCATAATGTCGACGGGTATAAATCGGTTAACTCCACGGCAGTTTCTCTGGGGGGTGGGGGGGGTGGGGTTATCACAAACAAAGTAACAATCAAATAAAACATTTCGCTTAAAGGGACAATAAAATGAAACATTGCACAAGTCTAATCATTTCTAGTTTGGGTTAAGATGGGGTAGAAAAAAAATAAACAAGGAAATGCGGACTGTAACGCGAAGTTGGGACCACCAGATAGACACGAGTGACAGTTACAGTATATTAGGAATAGAGCTGATAAGATGGATAAGGTGACTTACTCTCTGGACTGGAGCAGCCTGTGCAGTCGGGCTGTGCTCTGGTGTACCACTGTAACGTGCTTTCCCTGAGTGGATAGGTCTGCGCGCAGAAACCCAGCGTCGACATCTGACAGCAGATCTGATTGCAATGGCTGCCGGCTATTCCGTTGTGAAAACGGCTTGATTTGGGTCCAGCCTCCTCGGGGCTCTCCTCGTTTCTGTCCCTGTGTTTGTCTTTGCCATTATTTCCCAGTAAATTCTCTATAAAAAACGAAGAAACCCTGGCAGGCGGCGTGCTCTGAGGCTCGGTCACTTTGTCCGGCATGTTACCCTCGCCACTGAATGACTGCACAAGTTAGTCACAGGCGCCGATTTTCTCGTGTTAGTTAAATAACAGAGACGGGTGTTTCTCTGGTAGGAGTCCGGGGTCCGTGCGTTCATAGCAATCTGCTCCTAAAAATCAAAATGCACCCAACAGGTTTCCCCTTCCAAAAAAAAACGTAAGCAAAAACCGTATCGTCCACTCGGCGCCAGCAAGTTGTGAGAAGAAGGGGGAAAAATGATAATGATGAAATAAAAATGTCATGCAAGTTAAATGCTTAACAAGCAAAGAGTATTCCACGATTGGACGGGCACAATGGCAAATAGGATTACTCAAGAAAATAAGAGAATTACTTGCAATGAGTTCACTTCTCTGTTCCGTGTTCACAGAGTGCCTGAGGCTGCAGAGGCTGTCAGTCAATGGCTTTATTTAGGTCAATTAGGGAACAAATCACAACCCAGACTCTGGATCCAGGCCTCGTATTCCACACAAAGTGACACAGAGAGAGAGAGAAAGAGAGAGAAAGTGCCCTCTACAAACCTGATACACTACCTCCTATTGGCTGGCACCAAACATTCACTTCCTGTTAGTCCGGGAGCAAAAAAAAATGGTTAACTCTACCTCTCTCTGCAGCTCTTCGCGGAATACTGCACGCTTTATCAGCCGCACTTTGCTACCGAAAGTACTTTGTCCTTTTTGCACCCATTGCAAAACTCTTATTCTGTACTAAAACGAAACGTAAGACTCTAATTTGTCTTTTGATTCACTTTGCGCTGATAGAATCAAGTCTCTCTGCCCAAGGGTTGTACATTTTTTAAAGGAATATATTTGGAGAGCCGGTTGCAAATTTTGGATTTTATTTTAATATTGCTGTACATTATTTGCTCGGATTTTGGTCTTTGAAATTAAAGCTGAATCTGATTCCGCAATCTGCCCAGCGGCGAAAATATAAGTATTTTTTTCTCCTGGAATCGCTGTGCTGTAAATAAGTGTTGAATGAAGCGTATTCAGATTGTCTGTTCAGCAGCGCCATCCAATTTAAAGCATGTGCAGAATTTACTGAGGGAGAAATATCCAGTCTTGCATAAAATGAATTGAACTTGACTGTGCATTTATTGCGAAGTCACCTTTTACCGAACATTTTATAATCGGTTCTAAACTCTTCATTGTTGTAGTCTTGTAGTTTTAAGCCTGACCGTGCCCGGATCAAAAAGCAACCAGTTACTGCAAGTGTCAGCTTAACTCGCTATCCTGGTGTGTTTTTTTTGGACTCATCTAGGTTCATGACTGTTGAGAATAGTGAGCTGATTCCCAGACCAAGCATGAACTCTTCATAGGTGAGTGAATTACATTAAACCTTTAAACGAGATTAAAAACTGAAAATTGTATTAACTGCAGACCGATTTGTGTCATAATACGTTGAGTTTTAAACAAAATTCAAAGCAAACCACAATGGGAATATAATTTCAGCTAAATTAAAAGTATTATTTTAGGATATTTATAAAATTGCACACTCTGAATTGTTCGCTATTATCCAGTTCAACGATATAATATGTACACAACTGATCTGAAGAGGTGTTACTACTGTCGTTTGCAATGTTTACTGCATATTCTGCACTGGGATATTCTAAGATTTAGATATAGAATTTAAATTCGAGGATTTTCCAGGCGATTCAATTACTTGTACCAAGGAACAACTGAATACAGTTATAAGATGGATTCCTAAAGCAGCATATGTTTTATTACAATGCACATAAAATATAAATCGATCCATTCTCCGAGAAATATATAGATGTGTTAAAATCGCTCCTACAGATATTCTGTTCCGCTCAGAGCTGCTTTATTATTCCCGACTGAGAATTTACCAATTTCCAAAGCTTGAAGCAAACCCACAATGAAATTACTTATTACTCTTTTAGTGATCCAAATAGTGTACACTTATCAAATAGTGTACACTTGTCGCTTATAGTGTTTACTAACAGTAACGTCAAACAACTTAGTGTATGAATGTATTCTTTGAGTTCTAATGGGAAATACGTAGTGTCAGTAACTTGACTATTCTCGAATTATTATTTGTGTAACTATAAGCAAGAATATGGCAACAGCGCTTTATTTTGACTGTTTCTAGTCGGTTTGAAATACAACAAAGTTGCATTCCAGTGAACGCTGTTGAATCAGTTGGTATAAATGTGTACAGGGAGCAACCTGGAGCTACTCCGAATATAATAGTATAGATTGAATGATGCATTGGGAGGACAGGTAGCTCGGTTGGGAACTATGAAAAGGGGATTTTGTTAAAACTGATTTTGTTTTTAAAAAGCACATTTGTATTACTTGTATGAAGTTTCATTTAGTTTGTAATCAGTTAGTGGGTGTTGATGAAGTAGAACAATGTAAACAAATGTACACAAATATTTTAAGAATAATATAATTAACAGTCTAGATTCTCTGTTATTCGCAACTGGTACCTTTTTGCCCCCTTCCCCCAACCCCACCCCGTGGTTGAATTACTTGCAAACACTTGTGCCAGAATATGTGTTTTGGGAAAGTGAAAAGCGAGGCGAATCAGGCCTTAGGCATGACATCCATTTAATGTCAATCCTGAATAAAAACAAAATCGGTCTTATTTTGGCGCCTTTCATACATGTCTCGTAAGGGAATCGTTAGTTATTCACAGTGATACTTTTGTGATCAACAAACTATTAAGGCATGATTTCGGTAAATGGACGTACTCAGTGCATGAAATTGGTATTTGATTATTTATTTACTATTATTGATTATTTGATTAAAATTCGTGAAATTTGTCAATGAAAACAAGTTAACACATTTGACAACAGTACAAATTCTGATCGTTTTGCAATATAACAGATGCAACTTTTGATAGAGGCAAAATATACTAATTTAACTATCACCCAATAAAGTACAATCCCAGCGCAGCACATTCCCGCTTTATGTCTTTCTTTCCAATATCCAATATCAATATCTTAGGTCAAAAAAAGCTATGACAGAAATAAAACTGGCAAAGTTATTGGTACACCAATTTTCCACGTGGATTCTTTCAAAACTGTTGTAATGCAGTACATTCATATTGAACTTTGTTTCGCCCACTGACAGTCTGAAGCACAAATTAAGCCCAGAGCAGTTAGCCAGACGTGTCTTGAAAGTCTCGTAACATCACTAAACTATGTATGTGTACTTTAATAATAATAAAAACTAGAAACAGTTGTTTATTTTGTTATATGGAAAGTGAAATGTTTTATGTCTGGATTGATTGTAGCTTCTGAGTTAGTGAGAATCATTTGCATATCAATGTGGAAAGGTTCCATCTCTCGCTAACGATGACATATCCAGCAGCAATTACTATATTTTTTATTTGCATTGTTCATATGCTGACATTTTTTTAGTTGGCTGATAGTCTTCAGTGGCGTCGATCTTTATCAACAGTGATGCTATTGTGAGAGTGCACCACTCAAACCTGAACACTTATTTTAACGTTTCCAGCTAAATTAATATCCTTGCATAATCAGTCTATCGTTTTGTACGAGTACTTGTCACATCTATAGACAAGGCGTGTTTATAACCCGTGCCCAATGTGTGCAAAGTTCCAGTTAGTAGCAACAAAGATTGCCTCTGCAGAATAACTTGATGGTAGGTTAAAAGTTCACCCGTCACGTTGGTGGAATATTCACCAAGGTTTAAAGTCTCTATTTTGTTGTCCTGCGAGCAAGCATCAATCACGTCCCAATTGCGAAGTCAGGGGATAGCCGGGTGTGCCAGGGTGGGTGTGCAGACACCGCTGCGACGCGTATAGTGTGCCAATGAACAGGTCCCAAAGCGTGTGGTTTAATTTGTTTTGATTGAGTGGCTCTATTTTTTTCCCATGACATTTCACGCATCGTGTTTGTGAGCTGATGGCTAGCATTTTAAATCTTGTTCTTTTAATGCACAAGTGTTCTGTAGAGCAATACTCTTACGATATGAAATGCATTCTTGCTGAAATTCCGGCGTCGATCTCATCCTTTGACAACTTTGAGAGAGCACCCTCTGCTGTGCTTACACGTATTTACATTTTGCACACACAGCCGGAACCCCCAAACTGTCAAACCATACAGTCTGTGCTGTAAATTCAGAGTCACAATCAAGGAAACTGAGGAAGCTGTACTCTTTTGGGGGGGGAAAAATCTCACCAAGCATCGTCTTTGTTATTACACCGGATGGAAAGTTTACAATTGATCATTTATACCTATTCTTTTGGGCATTTTGCGCTGGCTATTGCAACGTTTTTTTGTGCAGTTTTCTAAATTAGTTCCCAGATAGCTTTTATTAAATTACTGAGATAAAACACCTGTTTCGGATCTGCTTTTCTCCTGGATCTGTGCACACAAAACAACCTCGGTAATTCCACTCGTGTTGATATTAATATTCTAAATTGGCCATAAACCCTTTGGAAAGGTATAAGCGGGCCACGGCACAGCAGTTAACGGAAACGAAATACATAAATACTCTGTACAAACTGAGCTTACTTACATCCAACGGGGAAATAATTGCAGTTTGTACATACACGGAAAATTCTAGTTTAGTTCTAAAGACAATTTGGTATAGCAACTTTTACGTCTGGCGGACGCCCGCCTCAAAGCGCTTCATTGCATTTTACTGTAAAGTGTTGTGACTGTGCAAAAGCCAGGTTTCCTACAAAATTTGTGAGTTAGATTATTCGCTTCGTTTCAGGTTATATCGAATCTACACTGATAAATTTTAAGTGCTCAGAGACATTATCCCATCCTATATATATCATTCTGTGGTAGTTTAGATTTACCAACAGCAGCAAACTGCATTAATACAACAGCTTCATGGTTTAAGAGTTCAATTTGGTTAGCTCCACTGAACAGCAACTGTAAGTTCACGACACACACGTGTAGCTTCTGAATTTTACTGTGTGCTCTTTGGCTTTTCTCTCTCCCGCCCCACAATGTTATGATATTTGAATGTGTTTTGTAAGACAC